AATCCACAAACATGACCTAAAAAGTGAACTCAGTTTCAAGAGTCTTCCAGTAGTTTCCTTACTACCCAAATAATTTCTTTTTGAAACAAAATTTCATGGCATGTTACTAATGTCTACATTCATACTATTGTTTGCTTATTGAATACAAATGGGCAAAATCAGAATTCAATCAATGAGCTCAAATGAAGTCTTATAGGAGGAGATGGACCCAGTAGTGAGTCGAGGTTTGGCTAACAAACTTATTGAAATGGCCTCAAGCTGTTGTTATACAGAATTCCACAAAGCACACTGCCTTCTTTTAGAAAGTCCCAGCTTCTCAGATAAGAAACAATTCTAGAATAGAAATATTCTTATTTGTAGGAGAAAGAATACATATGCAAATAAAAATAGTTTGTTTTCTATTCTGGCAAAAAAATTAAGCTGTTCAGAAGTAGAAAAGAAAATTTTATAGTGAAATTTCCTGTTTGGGGAAAGGATTTTTATGGGAACACATCTATCAGACTTAGTTTCTGTTCCAAATGGGAAAGAAAATTACATTTTCTCCTTGGGAAGTGCATGGATCTCTTGATATGGCCATGGACTTGGGATTTCTATGCTGTTTTCCTTCAGGGAGATATGTGCTTACCTCTTTCCCTCTCTGCCAGTCTCAAGAGTCAGGTGTCACCACATCAGTGACTTTGTGTGTCACTGATCCTTTACAGATTGTCCTTAAAGACAAATGCCACAACTCCTGATTACTTATGTCTGTTTACAATGCTTTGTTTTACCTCACTCTGCCTTTTTGCAGTTAGTTCTTACATGTACAAACTGGGAGAATGAGGTTGGGAGAGTGGGGTTGCAAGGACTTGATCTTGACCATCTCTGGTTGTTCCTCCTCTCTGTTCTCTCCCCTCTCTAGGCATGAAGGGCACATTTGGCCTTTATTCAAGTGAACACATGGAGGGCAGTGTGGGAACTTTGACTGTGTCTTCAGTGCCTTTGCACCCTCAGGACCCAGCATGGCACTTGGCTATGTCATTGGTAACCCGGTGACAGATTTTAAGTGAATAATAAACACCACTGCTGCCACCCTGAGAGCTCACAACACAATACATATATGCACATTTTATTTTATATCAAATCTCTAGTTATGAGAATAATCATCAGTGACAGATGCACATCTCTAAACAATATTTCACTTTTCACTTCTGATGGGCATGGAACATCAAGGGTTTGTGGTTATACTGTACATCGTCATGAATGCTGTTGGCTGTTACCCAGACTTTCTATCACCTTGGCCATTAGAACACAGTTCAAAATCAATTTTATCAGATTTTCTAAGGAGGGAAGCTCTGGAAGAGTCATTTTGCTTACAATTGGCCACAAACGAGGTTGACATGAAGAATGTTCTTGCAGAAGCAGCCTGAAAGGACAAATAGTGAAGTGAGTCTGTTATATTTCACCTCCTCCTCCTCCTGATTTTCTGCTAGTTCTGCTGTGCTTAACATTTTGAATATTTAATACTATGTTAATTTTTCCATTCAATGTCATTTCTATTCTAGAGAAACTTCTACAGAAGTCATTCTACCAATATTTAAAATAAATGAGGCTGTTATTTGAGATATTCATATTGCTTATGATTATTTTAAATCTCAAAACTTGTTTTTCCTCCTCTATGAAATTTTTTTATGTTTAAAGGTAGTGACAAGAACAAACCATGTATTCATGTTTCCTTTTTCTCAAATTCCAATTTTAGGTGGCAAGAGGAAAAACATTCACACAGTAGAAAGTCATCGAAGTTGACATATTACATAATTGCCTTGATAGCATTCTTTGAACACCGATGAAGTAAAATGTAGTTGAAATAATATCCTACAAGTATTCAAACACATAGGACCAGAAACATCTCAATATATTATAAAAAATTAACGTTGCTCTGTCATTGAACTTTCTAGTTTGTATTAGTCTAAGCCCTCAGATTGCAAATGATCTCTTCCTCAAAATACAGCATTCTACTTGAATCCATACTCCATTAAGAATGTACCCCAGCACCACTAAACCTGAAATGGCCACGGAAATCAGAGTATCAGAGTTGCCAGCATCTTATAGTGTGAACCGAGTGAGACATTCAAAATCCATGCATCTAAGCCCTAATCTTATTGGCAAGAAAATAAAGGCCCTTTCCCATGTTATGCATGATGTTAATGTTAAGTTGTGCCAATTTGGTAACAATTCTGTAATACACTTTTTCAATTACTATATATTGAAAATAGACTCTGATTCAACACATAACAAATCTTGCGTATTTAGGTATTTGTATGTGCATGTACACACACACACACACATCATCATCATCATCATCATCCAGCGCACAAGTCTCACTCCATTGTGGATTATATATTTATCTCTTATAAAAGAGATAACCTGGTAAACACAAAGTATATAAAGCTTTGTAGGATACAGACTTTGCTGGGAGATACCATTAAAATGTTTTGTCTAATAAAAATGTGAAAAAAGAAAGAGTAAAAAATTCTAGAATTTTATATCCATTCTTTTCCTAAGACTGATGGAGTATGCATATTTGCTTCAGTAATAATTTTGATGGACTAGATCTTTCTTCAGGAAACAAGTTAAAATGGGTCTTCTTCCCAAGGTTACTTCATATTTTAAAAATACCTCCTAGCCTTTATATCAATGAGAAAAAAACCTGTTTGGCAATGTTAGTTGATAACTAGGTTTCCATAAGGAAGTGAAGCTTATCAGGAGGGAGAAAGGTAATCAAAAGGGGTGGGTACAGCTGGAAATGAGTTAGGAGTGAATTTCCAGGAAGGTTAGACAGGTGGAAAGGACCCTTGCACTGTGGGCTGTGACCTACTTCACATCCTGCTTTTATGGAATTCTGCGATCAACATTTGCATTATCACCCCACTCATAGCATCCGACTTTTTCGTCCCAATATTCCACCCCCATCCTGGGTTATGGTGAACTCTCAATGGTAAATAAATGCTCTGCTTGTAACTTCTTAACTTAGCGACTCAATGACAGCATTTATTTGTTTCACACTTACTGTATTTCCCACAAGCCAAGTGTTTGTTGTAACCAGAAAATATTCCAATAAAATATAGGGCATAAAGTGATTTTTAGCAAATTAACACCAAAAAAACTGGAAAAATAATTCCACTTCCAAATAGTCTGTAGATTCAAACCTCAGCAGAATTCTTAAAACTTACCAGTTAATGTACTTTTTAGCTGAAGAATTTATTTTCTGAATTTATCTTTGGATTCAAATCATTTCCCATATTAAAAAACCAGACTACAGCTTTTTAGTCTTAAGACATTCTCAGTTATATCTTAATAATATTGGCAAGAAAGCACAAAGAGTCTGCATGTTATTAAAATTTCAAAAGTGTTGCATTTTTTCAAGACTTTTAGAACTAGCCAATGCAGAAAAAAAATCAAGTACTGCTTTAAAAAAATTTCTTTCCATATCCTAAAATATACTCACAAACCATATATCCCTTAATACATTTTATTTTAGGAAAAATGTAAGCCACAAACCCAGAACTCGAAGAAGAAAAGTGATTTTTTTTAAGCAGAAATGTGATTCATACATGCAATTTTTCTTCAACACCTCATACTTTGAAAATACATTTGTATCTCCTGAGGACAGCAGAGAGAGATACCCTTTCTCTTTACGGCATCCAGCAAATTATAAGCTTAATAAATAAATGTTAATTTGATTTGATTTGGGGCACTTTTTAAAAATTCAAAATATGTCTTTTGCATTAATCCCAGATATGACCTTGATATAGATTGGTTTAAAGGATGTTAAAACCAAGGCAGTGATCCATGAGAACCACTGGGATGTTTCTCCCAAAGTGGTCAAGCATCATCCTGCTGGACCACGGCCACTCCAAAGTGCCTGGAATCCATTAAGCCAGGAAGTACTGTAGAACTGAGACCCAAATGTGTTAGAAATGCTCTCAGGTTCATTTTGGTCGGCTCCCTCTGCCTCCTGCCTTACCTCTAAAAGGGAAGACAGAATGGAAGAGGCAGCAGTTCTGTAAGGATCCAAGCAACACACAGAAGTTCAAGGATCTAAATCACTTCTCCACTAACAACAGCTCTGGGATCATTGCAAAATTACTTAGCCCTTTTACAAGCTAGTTACTTCCACCTCCCTCATCTATAAACATGCAAGTTTGGACTAAATCTCCCAGGTCTCTTCCAGGTCCCAAATCCTATAATTCAGACTGCCAATAAAACATGACCGTAACTCTGGGATATTCATTTTCCAAAGTAAAGTTGTAAATGGTCTGGACTTTTTCATTAACAAATGCCAGAAGCTATCGGGAACTTTGTGGGTGCTCAATAAATATGAAACAATCAATTTTATCTTTCATCTGCAAAATGGGGTGAGTAATGCTGACTTGTCTCCCAGAATTTTGTGTGAGAAATAATAGATGAGAACAAAGCACTTTTCAGATAATGAAGTAATTCAAATAAGCTGCTTTAATAGGTCTGAAGTCTGGATGGATGATGCAAGAATAAAGTGCCTTTTTTATTATTACATCTGTGAAATACAACAGTCTTTTCATCTGTTTAAGAAAAAACAGTCATTATCCTTGCTTATCACTGAAAAGTCAGCTTGAGTAATTTCCGTGCAAATGGAATTTTTCATGTGATTTTAACATTTATCACTTTTAACAAAATGCAGCTTTTATCTTTACCTGATACCAAAATGGAATCATATCTTGATTTAACTAGCTTAATGAGGCATTCCATCAGCATTATACTACTCTGCCCAAAGAAAATGCTTTCTGAAATGACTGATAAACTGCACAAATGAGAAAATTGCAAATTTAATAATCCTCCTACTCAAAAAAGAATCCAATCAGGAATTATTACTAATGAAAATGATATATTGCATCCTAGCTTCCTGGGGACTTGCACTGGATAGGGTGTTGTTGTTTTTCTTAGTGTTTATAGCCAATAAATAATATGCTCTGTATTTTTTACAGTGTTCCAACAAAAGGCAGCAAGAAGACAATCTGATGATGAGAAGTTCCATGGTCTTCCTAAGAAACCAGGTACTGACACTAACTTCAGTCTAGTTAATAATCTTATGAATACTGAATAAAGAAATCTTATGAATACTGAATAAAGCCCCCTAGGGTAGAAGTAAATGATTGTGTGTTTGATTAATTTCACTCTCAAGTTAGTGTCTTGCCCAAACATAATTTTGACATAATAAAATCAATGCAAGAAATTTATTTTAATTAACAAAGACAGGAAATGGCCTTGTCAGAATGCCTGTGGTGATGCTGTTACCAGGGATTCAGGAAGGTTAAGTAAGACAAATTATAATGTGCATCAGAGGTCACATTTTCCAAGACCTTCAGAGGGCGGGAGGGTCCAATGCTTGATCCCCCAAAGCATGGGAATTCTATGTGGTGCCCTTTTATCAGTACTCTTTTGCCTTCAGCCCTTGATTCAACATATTTTGAATAATTGTAATGCAGACAAGTGTCGAAAACTGAAGCCACAGAAATATCTCACAGAGTAGGAATATTTTCTACCTCCAGTTTCCTTTAAAATACTTATCTCCTTTTGAAAAGAGACACTCTAGCAAACTATTAATTACGATTTTTAAGACAATCAGGACTGATTTATTGTCCAAATATGAAAAACATAAAAGAGGATAGAGGTAGGGAGTAACAATAGCTGGCTCTGATATGAACATTGGCAGACCCACCTTTGAAATAATGTAAATCCTAAATCATGTTATCTTGAAATTGGTACCAGGAAATTGTTGAGAGAAACATTAAAACAAAACCAGAACATTATTTCACAGCAGTCACTAACCAGTCCTGTGGTTGGATACTAGCTTTTGTACTATTGTAGAGATTGTGAGGTGTAGATTGCACCAACTTCTAACACTCACTGAACTATTAAATATAGAACCCCAACAGTCCTGCTCCTGTGGTACTATGGAATGTCCTTCAAACACAGTTGTGTCTTTAAATGAGTGTTCTTCACCCATCATTTCAAGTAGCATTTCCCATGGCAACCAGGTTGTACTTAGATAGTTCTTGCAATTAAGTTCATGGTGTTTGAATGCAGTACATGAGGAGGCTGAACTTCTCTTCTCCCATGAATCACGAGGAGAGATTGTTTCCAAATTTACATGTACCAAACTCTCTTTATCTGGCAATTTTCCATTTTTAGCAATTTCATATTTGGTGGAGGGAGAGGTCTTTCTAAAATCTTATGCTATCCTCCCACCGTGTCTTTAGCTGTCTCGAGAAATCAATGCAAAACTTCATGTAAGATTTTTGTGCAACTCAGATCAGAGCAGCTCCTAAAGAATTAAACAAAGTAGATAAGATTATTTCTATCTGGACTCCCCCACACATCTCACAGAGCTTTAGAAAGAATAAAGAGAGGAGATGCTTTGAGCTCTTTGGGATAAAATGTCCCTAAAGCATTTTTCTTATAAATTATTCTAGTATTGTGTTTTTAATTAAGTTCAGTTGGAATTAGGGGAGATGAAGAAGGGTGACAAGTGTCAAGTGTGATGAAGAGATTCATGAAAAGCTTGATCTTATCAATTATCCTTCTGGGTGTTCCACAGAGAACAATGTAAAGGAAGGCATCTAGTGTCCACTTAGCCTCGAAGAGCTGATTATTATTCCACCACGTGGATAGAAAAGTAGTTTCCATCTGTGCCCAGACAAAAGGGGAGGAGAGAATGGTGAAAAGAAACAGGATTCTAATTATACGATATTTTATGGGTCTATCTGTCTTAATTTATTACCCAATTTGCTTCATCAAGGTCAATTATCACTAGATTTTTAGAACTCTATAAAGACTAGGATACTGATTTTTTTAAAATATGTATTCTTAAGTTTTAGATGGACACAATACCTTTATTTTACATTCCATGTGGTGCTGAGGATCGAACCCAGTGCCTTGTGCATGCTAGGCGAGCACTCTACCACTGAGCCATAACCCCAGCCCAATACTGAATGTTTTGATCATATTTTATCTGACATCTTTCTTCTTTCTAGATTCTTAAATTCAACTTATGGGTAACATTTTTTTAAAAAATTTACTATATTGAATTTATTTTACAACTTATTATAATTTAATATTTATAAATTATATTCCATGTAAAATAATCAGGTCTCCCAGGTTCATATGAAACAAGTAAATTGAATAATAAACATATGTAAGTATAGATGTATATATATATATATATATATATATATATATATATGTGTGTGTGTGTGTGTGTGTGTGTGTACATAATTTTTGGAGGAACGATTGTTGTTAATTTACCAGCAAATTTTTATTCAAATCCAACCATGTCAATAGTTACAGGAAATGTGAAAAGATAAAAACATCAATTAAAAGGCAAAGATGGAGGAGGGAATATGGTGGCGAGGGGAGTGCATTGCCCCCGTGTGCCGCGTCACTGTGTGGGAGAATGACGAGTCAGGACGGCTAAAGGCTATCTTGTTAGGAATTTCCAGCAATAGTGGGGTGCTCCGGAACCTGGAGGAAAGATTTCCATCGCACGAGGATCGGCTACGGGGGCTCAAATGCGAGAGATTTGTCGCATGGAGGGTCACACTGCTTATTCAGCAAATCGCCTCTCGGCTAGAGTCTGCGGCGTGTGCTGGGAAACGAGGAGATAGCGACGCAGGGATACAGCGCTGCAGTTTCTGCCAGCCGTGCAAGCACCGTACTCAGTGCTGAATTCTGGGTTCGAGAAGGGGAAAAGAAGCGGTCCAATTCGGTTCTCCACACCGGTCAGACCACAGAGGAGGCCAGCGGCCACCATCTTGGAGAGCTGACGTCACCATCCCTGTTTTCGACTGATCACAGCTCATTCAGCCATAGAACAGGTAATTTCAGGCTGCCATTCGCCTGAGGCTTGCAGACAAATTACTCAGGCTCAGTGCTAAATAACCCGCGGAAACTGCTTCTTGGAGCCTGCTCTTATCAGAGCATACACCGAGCACAGAGCGGCCGAGTTCTGGCTCCCGGAACTGCTCTGGCCCAGGGCTAAGGAGCCCGTGGAAACTGCTTCTCGGTCCAAGTCCTGCTGAGTAATGTGGAGGTAAATACCAACCGAGCCTTCGTGGGCAGTGGCAACAGGACTGAGACGGGGCCTGTGAGGGCCGGTCAGGACTCACCCGTTGCTTTGGTCACCCGGCAAAGGGAACGAAATGCTGCCATTCGCATAGGATACCAACATGGCAGAGATCTGATGTCATCAGAAAGTGGCGGAGGAGAGAACTTCATCAATACCAGCGGCGACAGAAACAGTTGGTCTCCTGGTAGGGAGGGTGAGTCACAGACACCCGAGTCTCTCTCGCTTTGTCATCGAGCCAGAGGAGAGGAGCCGGGCCACCGCCCGCGCCCGGAGCAGGCCCAGCGGCTCACCAGCGTGGTGGTCACGTGACCCCAATTGGAGAGTGGGCAGAGCGGAGCCGCCACCCGCGCCCGCAAGGTGGGCAGACCTGCGAACGACCGGCAGAACAGGCCCAGTGGTCCACGGGCGTGGTAGGAGGGGCAGGGCAGAGCTGCTGCCCGCGCCTGCAAGGTAAGCAGACCTGCGACAGACTGGCGGATCAGGCCCAGCAGCCTGCCAGTGTGGTACACACGTCACCCCAACTGGAGTAGGGGCAGAGCAGAGCCTTCGCCCACGCCCGGATCAGGCCCAGCGGCCCGCCAGTGTGGCGGTCACGTGACCCCGATTGGAGTGGGGGCAGAGCAGAGCCGCCACCTGTGCCCGAAAGGTGGGCAGTCCTGCGACCGACCAGTGGGACAGGCCCAGTGGCCTGCCGGTGCGACAGACACGTCACCCCATTTGGAGTAGGGGCAGAGCAGAGCCGCCGCCCGTGCCCGCAAGGTAGGCAGACCTGCGAGTGACCGGTGGAACAGGCCCAGCGGCCGGCCGGGGTGGTAGGCACGTCACCCCAATTGGAGTAGGAGCAGAGCAGAGCCTTCACCCGCTCCCGGAACAGGCACAGAGGTCCGCGGGTGTGGTAGACAAGTCACACCAATTGGAGGGGGGGCAGAGCAGAGCCGCCGCCCGCACCTGCAGGGTAGGCAGACCTGCAACCAACCGGCGGATCAGGCCCGGTGGCCTGCCGGCGTGGTAAACACGTCACCCCAATTGGAGTAGGGGCAGAGCAGAGCCGACGCCCACGTCCAGAATAAGCCCAGCGACCGGCCGGCGTGGTAGACACATCACCCCAATTGGAGTAAGGACAGAGCAGAGCCGCCGCCCGCGCCTGCAAGGTAGGCAGACCTGCGACCGACCGGCAGACAGGCCCAGGGGTCCGCGGGCGTGGTAGACACCTCACACCAATTGGAGGAGGGGCAGAGCAGAGCCGCCGCCCGTGCCTGTAAGGTAGGCAGAACGCCGCCCGACCCTGCAAGGGAGACTTTTCAACTATACAAGAGCAATATAAATATATAGGGGGAAAATTTTTTCAAAAACACAACAGTTTCACCAAGCAGAAAGAAACGCAAGCAGTATGAAAAGACAAGGAAAGAAAGGACCACAAGCAATGCAGGTCAAGTCAACTTTAGAAGAGGTAACAGCTGCAGCAGATGGAATGTCAGATAAAGAATTCAGGATATACATGCTTCAGATGATCTGGAGTATCAAGGAAGAAATTAGACAGCAAAATCAGACAATGAAAGATCACTTCAACAATGAATTACACAAACAAATCCAGGAAGCAAAGGATCAACTATACAGGGAGATAGAGGTTATAAAAAACAAACAAACAGAAATCCTAGAAATGCAGGAAGCAATAAACCAACTTAAAAACTCAATGGAGAATACTACCAGCAGAGTAGAACACTTAGAAGATAGAACATCAGACAATGAAGACAAAGTATTTCAACTTGAAAAGAACATAGACAGCTCAGCAAGACTGTTAAGAAACCATGAGCAGAACATCCAAGAAATATGGGATAACATAAAGAGACCAAACTTAAGAGTCATTGGGATACAGGAAGGTATAGAACTCCAAACCAAAGGAATGAGCAATCTATTCAATGAAATAAT